ACACACACACACACAAATTTGTTCTGTGGCCTGCTGCTCCCATCTACTACCAGCAGAGGGCAGCAGATACCACAGTCCATGTATTTCCCATATGCAGGTTCTGAAAACTCGATGGAGGAATTTAACAGTGAACAGTCTATAAATCAAACAATGCCACAGGTCTACGTCACCTCCGTTTCTTTTATTTACACAAACACGGTATAAAGTGTTACAGCGTCGTAAAAAAACATTTTGTACAGAAGCTTGTGACTGTTAGAAACAATCAGGTCGACAAAAATATTTACAGATATTTACAGAAGAGCTTCAGGGATTTTGTGGAGGGAAATATCTTTCTCATTATTACAGTTGTACTGTTGTGTACAATAAAGATGGAAACCACCGATTACGTATTTTTAACCTGAAACCTTTTCAACAGCAAGACGGGGTTGAAAGCTCCAGGGGACAAAAATTCAGGATTTTCTTTAAACACAATCTTTCTCGTTCTTAACAGATATTTGAAAGGTTTTTTAAGTTCAGTTTTTAAGTTTTTAAGCTTCTTTGATATTTTCTCCCACAAAAAATCTAAACAAGCCTGAAAAGTTGATTTTCTGGATCTCAACGGTCTTTTCAGGGTCAATAAACATTTGTTATTTCAAGAGTAGAAGACTAAGAACGTTCAATATTTCATTTAAAACATGAAAATTTAAGGTGGTATTAATGAACTGAACTGGTGATTATCTGAATTTTTCTTCTTGTCAATAAATCTCATGTGAAAAGAAAAACCAACATCGAGGTTTCCCATTTTCACAAAACCTGACATGTAGATTATTCTGCCACTTCAACTAGTCCTTGATATCTCCCACTTCACTGAGGCGGACGAACACGTCGTTATTTTTTACAATAATACAAATACAGAAAAACAGCAGACTGATCCTTTAAGAGCTGAAATGAACACGTAGCATAATAAACACTGGTGTCTGATTGGCTGACGGCATCATTCAGTCAAACGACCTTGACTCGATTCAGCTTTTGACAAAATAAACAAACCTGATTTGATGAATCTGACGGCAAATCGAGACCAAACCAAGCTGCGAAGATTCTGACATTATCAGGTTTCATCTGGAGGAAAAATATAAAACATTTTCATAAAAACTGAAAAAAAGGAAACTAAAAGTTTCTTTGAGTTGATCTTTGGTCCGTTTCAAGTTGGGAATTCCACTAAACTTTAAGTCTTTAAAAACTTTGTAAAAACACTTCAAACACTTCTGTTTTTCTTCCTTGTCTTCTTTTATCTATCAGTCATGTCCTGGTGGCTAATGCTGCTAATGTTAATTGCTAGTTTCTTCCTCTGCTGTTTATTCTTAGCAAACAGAGACGTTAAAAGAGTTCATGTGCAGCAGAAACAAAGAGCTACAAGTGGATTTAGCTTCTGTCACTATCGAGTTATTAACGTGGATGAAATTGTTTGCAGACGATTCCGTCCTCTCTGTCGGAGGCTGGGCCTGTTTCCTTGGCGACTTGAAGTTTCTAACTGGCCATCCACAGGGTGAAGGGGATGAGGAGGGTGGGCAGGGCCGTGCTGGAGGATATCCCCAAGCACACCATGGACAGGAGCCCGAGCAGAGCCGTCAGGACGACGTTACGCTGGTCCTGGATCAGAGTCTTCAGCCACCCACAGAACTGGAGAGAGGAGACACAAAAGAAATAATATCAATATCATTATTATTATTATTATTATCATCATATAGATTATTTGACCTGCCACTCCTCCTGTATGGAGAATA